ACAATGGGGTCGACGATGAACCTAGGAGGATGAGGACTGGTCGTGAGCTGGTGGACGGAGCAGTTGTGGGCTAGTTCGGGTGATGGAGGGGGGCTGTTTGGACAGGAGGAGGAGGGTGGTTGTTTGACGGAAAGAGGGGGGGGAGCTGTTTGGGGTTGACGGTGGTTATGGGCATTGGGGGAGTTGGAGCTCGCGGGCTAGGAGGTTAGGGTGGTTGACGATGGTTTAGGGTGGCCGGAGGTTTGGAGGGGACGGGTGAACAGTGACGACGGTGAAAGGAGGTGGTTGTTTTGGGTGGTTCTGCTGGTTTTTTGGTCGTCGGGACAGTAGGGTTTCCTTGCTTCTTCTTTCAAAGAGAAAGAAGAAGATGAACAGTAACCTCCCCTCCAAAAATTCAAAAAGTCCCTCCTTCTTTGTTTTTGTCCGTGTATTTAGCATGGGTTTGTCAAGAAAAATGAGCCCCACGCGTGGTGGGGTTCGAGACTTATGTCCCCCACGCGTGGTGGGGTTCCCCATGTGTCCTGGACACGGTTTATTATAGGCTATGTCCGAAAATTAGGCCTAAAACCGGGTAGTTTGAACCCGAATATTATTCTTTTGCCCGGACCCGAGAAATAGGAACACGTTGCTTAACTAGTCCTATGTAAGCAAAATAACTACCGAAAATAAGACTAGTATTCAAACAAAACTATATCTTTTTTTTTTTAAATATTTTTTCAAGATTTAAAATAGCTATAAAATATTAATAAAACTATTTTTGTAATTTTCGTTTTTTTAAATATTAAGATAAAATATGAAGCAATATTTTTTGTATTTTTCAAAGTTAAAATGACTATAAAACCTTAATAGAACTATATTTTTTGTAATTTTCGAAATTATATAAAGTACAAAAATAAAGTGCAATTTTTGTATTTTTCAAGTTTATGAGAGATACATAAACTAAAATTTATATATATATTTTTTTGAAATTTTTCTTTTTGCAACGAAATAAAAGTAAAAATAGTTAAAATAGCTATACTAGACCCAATTTCACATATTCACGCTAAAAATGTGAAAATTCTCGGGGGAGAGTCAAAAATCACTTGCTTACAAGTATTGTAAGTCATATTTATTCAAAATATTTATAAAATATTTAAGAAAAACATGGTCAAAGTACAATCTCGTGCCAATCTTTTTGAAACAGAGGAATAATTTATTTGCCCAGCGGCCGGGTTTTGGTATGCCAAAAAGTATTAGAAATCAACTTCCGATTTCCTAAAGCATGCCAAAAGTTGGGCAAGAACTCGTCCAATTTCATGGATTGTTTGATTCATCGGTTGGCGGATACTAGCTGATGCCTATGTTACGGTATTAGTGAGGCGATACATGGACAAAACTAAGTCAGAAAAACATCGTAAATAGTTTGCAAGCTCATATGAGAGACGAACAAACATGTTTTATTGATTTCATATGACAATACAAACTCTTTCCTGGCCTTGCTCTGTGACAGAACAGAGGAGTGAGGACATTAGCATAAAGAGCACCACGGAAAAAGGGAAAGAAAGATAGAAGGGACAGAGTAAATTTATTGATTTTAGAACTATGATATTATTCGCCCAGTGACTGGGAACTGGTAGGCACGGACCCCTTCAAACTCAGTTTGCTGCAAAAAAAATAGAAGTCAAAGTCAGTAGACAGTAGCTGAAATATAAGTTATGTAACATAATCCTGATCACTGTATGCTTCCTTTTATAGTTTACCCTAATAATGCAATAATAAAATTGGTGAATAACTGACCAGCACAAGAAAGGGGAGGAAGGTTGCACTGAGAGGGAAGGCGGGCAGAGATGCGCATAGTGTTACACATGCAGTCATTATCAATTGATCGAAGTGCAGCACAACACTCAGCGCTGGCGTTAGGTGCCCCTGGCACCACGAAAGGCGCGCACACGTTCAGGTTCCCAAGTGATGCCGAGCATGTCTGCCCCTGCTGACATTCAATCACTCTGCTTTGTAGCACAATCACCAGCATACCCAACAGCCATAGTGAAACAACTGACTTCATGGTCGTAGCCATATTTGGTCGAATAGTTCTTACTCAAAATGATTATTGCAAGAAAACTAAAGTAGCTGACTTGCTTTTTCTTATCCCAAGAGGAGATGTATAGGCTTCTATTTATAGTTGATGATCACAGAGCTAAACTTGTTTGGAAGATGAGACTCTTTGCGTGAACGACCTAATTGAAGATACTGGCAAATCAGTTTTCTTATGTGTTTGCCTTTGCCCGCACATTGTAGTTGGATCATGATATATTACACCCTTCATTTCAACTTGTTAATTTGGCACTGTTATTATACGGGGAGATAATAATTTTTCCTTTAACTTTGTTAAAGTAGTAGTATTATATAGTAGTTTCTTAATTTATAAATTTAGTTCTTTACAATATGTACATCAAGGCTGATATTTGGCCCTTTTCCAGCACTATTGACCTTCTCATAATCTTTTATTGTTTCTCCATCTCTAGCAGAGTAAGTTGTTGTTTGAAAAGGAGAAAGAAGATAAAAAAAATGAAAAAGGCGGACATAAAAGAAAAGAATTGAAAAATCAAATAAGAGTTCGATAGGTACTTTTCAAGCTAAACAAATCTATTAGTCATATCAAGGGACAAATAGAATTGTTTTACAAACTTTTAAAAGCTTAGACAGACTAGCCTATACAAAATTTAATCAAAAGAGTAAAATGTTGCACTTTACTCAAAAAAAAAAAAAAAAAAAAAAAAAAGCAGATGAACAAGAGATTAGGGTAATTTAAACACAAAATTGGGATTAAGAAATTAGAACATCCTTGGGTTGGTGGAGGTGTTATTAGAATCTTGAGTAGCTGGAGCAGTCCAATAAGATTTGACTGCAAAGAGAAGCTTCCCTCTCTCCATTGGCCCATCTTCATGATCCACAATTAGAGTATCCCATTTCAGCCCATCTGCTATCTTCTTTACTTCCACCAATATATCTACGTCTTCTCGAATTATTACACTTCCTTCTGGCCTTAATATCCTATCCATTTCTAGTAATATGTCCTCCATTTCACATCTACATATCATATCAAAACCACACACTCAGAATTCACAATTCCAATGCCGTTTTTGTATGGGAAATAATAAGATATTAGAATTTAAAATAATAGTAAAACTTAGTTACCTGTCTTTGTACATAGTAAATATTGAATCAGCATGAATAAGATCGTATGTTCTTGGGTAAGTTGACATGGCCTCACACCTACAATAAAAAATTTATTTTTAAATACAAATATACCAAAGCCTAAGTTACATGAGTCGTTAACAGGTATATATCCTGATATTATTAATAGGTACTAGAGGCGCTAAGATTTTTATAATATGGGTGTACCATTCAAGAAATGAGAGAAAAAAAAAGTACTAATTAGGAATTGATCCCTATTTCTCTAGATAAGTAACTCAACATTCAATCAAGTGCACCATTTAGGTTCTCTGGAGCATAGGTGTCAGCATATAATATTAGATTAATTTTAGTAAATATGTACATAAAATATCTAGTTTGACCGAAGCACCATGGGTTCACGTGCCCCATAAATTAGTCTTAAATCCGCCCCTGACAGGTACATATAGTGGCGAAGCCGGGACTTTCCCAAAGAGTGTTCAAACTTGAAAGAAGTAAAAAAAAAAAAAAAATCTCCGACAAAGGGTATTCAATATTTGTTATATACATCTAAAACTTAATATTTTACTTATATACATAGTATAATTTTCCGACGAAGGGTGGTCAACCCTCACTAAAGTGTAGCTTTGCCCCTAGGTACATATTCAATAAGTTTTTAGTGTACTTTAACGAATTCCCATAAAATACTCACAATCTTATCTCGCTCGTTCAGCTACAAGTACCTAAAGAACATCGAGGCTAGGGACAAGCGACTGTAGGCCTATTCGCCATGAAGTATGCATAAGCAGGAGTATAGCATCTAGAGGGCATGCCTTCGACTGGTCATAACCGGAACTCTTAGGTTAGAGGTTCACCCTTAGCCCAGTACATAATAAAGGGGAAAGGTGAACTTTTTCTACTCGAGTTCACAAAAATAATCATATAAGAAAGCGTTTGATTGTACTGAAGGACCTAGGAATAGCTTACCAGCTTTGATATGTTCCAACCAATCCTCGTTCATAAATGACACCAAGTGTGTTGACCTCAGCCTCAACAGGAACAACATTCATTACCCAAACAGGGTCATCGACCCAACTAGCAGCAAAACCACCTAAGTAAGCATTCATATCTAAAAGATTTCTGTATCTCCCTGGCTGGTTGAGCTTGTTATCTACACTCTTATAATAAGAAACTCTTTTTTGCCATAGCTGTGAATCCTTCTCAAAAGATTCAGCTGTAACCCCATTAACAGTTCCTCTACTAATCCTTGGTGGTATTGCGTGTAATCTTTTAGGCCATTTTTCCAATTGTCCACCTGCCACCTCTTCTTCACTTGAAACTTCAGGCAACGGAGTTACGCATGTCGAAAGCTCCGTATACCTGTAAAACAACAAAGTTGACACGAAACAAGTTTAGAGCTAACAGAACTATGAGTATAACCTAATATTTCCTCAATTCCATTTTATATGACACTCTTTCGTTTTGAGTCTGTTTCAGAACATGTCCTAAGGTAACGTCGTGCCCAGTCAACTACTGTCATATAAAATAAAACAGAACTAGTAGCTAGGGTATTAAAACTGTGAGGAGTTGAAAAGCACAAACCAGGCTTTATCAGGATCTTGGGCAGGACACATTAACTTCTTCTTTTGTTCTTTGCACTGGAAATGATTGTATGGCTTCTGCCATATTGCAATGTCATCCTTTTCGACAAACTTTTTCCAACAAAGTTTCTTAGCTACCTCCTCAATTCTGGTCTGTTCCCAATTTAGGTCATCCCTGGTTCTTTCCCAGCCTTTCCAGTATTTTCTCCAGCGAATTGGCGGGCCAGAGAGTATCCAATATCCACCAGGTCTCAGCACTCTATCAACTTCCATTAAGTATTCACCATCTGATCACCATGCAAATAAACTTTAGTTTATTTAACATCTAAAACCAAATTTAGATTCATGTGAAAGAATTATTGAATTGTGTGACAATCTGATTAAAAAAGAGCACACTTTTATTTACTTAATCAATTATACGTACCATAAAACACACTTTTATTTACTTAATCACTCATACGTACCATACTGGTCCCAAGGAATAAGGCAACGAGAGCAATGGGCCATGTCAAAGGCTCTACATGGATAGGGAAGTCTCTTGGACGCGAGCACTCCAATTAAAGCAGGAACGCCTCGCTCAAGAGCAAATTGAACCTGCGCTTCATGTGTATCCCTGGGTGCAAATGACATCGCTAGGATATCTCGCGACAAAAGATAAGCTCCCCAACTCGCGACCTGCATATATAGATTGTCACAACTTCTTTAGATATACGTCGCTAAATGGGATCCTACAATTCGTCTAGCAACTGAGAGAAATGATACATTACCCCACAACCGGTATCAATAGCGGTCCTAATGGAACCATCTTTAAGATTGAACAACTTGTCAATGTCGTCAACATAGGCATCAGCACCATTAGGGAACATGGTCCCTCCACCGGGAAATCTGAACTTGTCTCCTTCTTTTCGGATCCAATTCTGAACGGCTTTCTCCACCGTCAATTCCTTGTGTGGCACATTGGCGTACCACGCCAAATCCCTGCTCTTAGGCCACTTGAACGGCTTCTTGTAACCATAAGGCGCGGGGATACGGCATTTCAACAATTGACTCTTGTCAGGGCAATGCCTCTCCCTATAAATCAATCTGTCTCTCTTGAACTTCAACGACCTTTGAGGGTCTTCACACGGAGTATACTCGCTATACTTGATGTCACATGCCGGGTAAACTTTGACACTATCATCAGGCGCAACGCCTTCACCTTCGTCGTCACCTTGGTTGGTGCTGAAGTCTAGTTGTGACGATGTAGAAGAAGAAGACGATGATATTTTGGAATTATTGGAAGCGGCAGCAGTGGATGTTATTTTCAAGGGAATGCAGGGGATGGTAGCTGCAACATTAGAAACAGGAGAGGTGGAAATGGAGCCTCTGCCAAAGAGATAAGTAATAGAGCAGAGGAACGTAATGGCTATGGCCAATGTATAAACATTAATTCTTATTGAATAAGGAGAAGAAGGGAAGTTGGCTGCATTGGGCTTGTAAGTTGGGCTATAATATGGGGGTGTTCTAGGACCTGCCATGGCAAAATTAGTCCGCTAATAACAACTCAATCAATGACTCAAAGTTGCAATTTTTCTATGTTTATAAATTGAAATAGCTAGCTAAAGAAATCCAACTCAATTGATTCTATAACATGGTGGTGTTGCAGTTGGATCGGCATCAACAGAAGGTGTTAGGATATACATGAAAGAGAATAAAGGCCAACAGAAAGATCGAGGAGAAAAGTAGAGGTGGATCCAACAAGTAAATTAAGTTAGTGGGTGTGAGTCTTTTTGCACCCACTACACTTTTGTCACAATTGTTGGAAACTAAGTAAAATGTATGTATTTTTCAATTATATATATAGTTCGAGAGTGTCCGTAACAGCTGCTAAAGGTTAGATCTACCAAGAGAAACATGTGAAAAATGAGAGGAGAGAGTGTTTGATGGAGTCTGAAAAATAGGAAAACGGAGTTTATCAATTGGATTATGCATAACTACTATGTCAGCTGCCGTTCCTTGTATTATTTTGGATAGGAAATAATCTCAGCCGTGGAATGGAGGATTAAATGCTCGCCATGATTTACTTCAGCTAACTGTTTCAGTTAAATTTTACGTGTTTGTTACAAATGGCCGTGGATTAATTAAGAGGCTTATAGAGGCCATTTGTCCATTCCGTATCTAACTACCTAGCTAACTTTTTTCAAGCCACTACAGTTGGAGACGGCGGACCAGTTCACCGTGTAGATGGTAAGAAAACTATTACACCCTCTTACGTAGCACTATTACTATTAAGGGAGTCAGATTTTTCTTTGACCACAATTTTCATAAATATATTTTAAATATTTTGAATTATTAATTATTGTGCCTGTAATACTCTTCGTTTCAGTTTACGTGACACAACATTTCATTCTTAGTCAGCTTTCTAAATTTGAAGATAATATATGATGGTAGGATATAATTATGTATTTTAGCCGCTTACTGCGCTTTAATTTACTGCACTTTAATTGAGTTTGAGGTTTAATCACTAGTGTTTTGCACTAATTATATGTTTTATGCCTTGTAGGACTGATTCCGAGCTATGTCGATGTTACAGAATGAAATCGAGCTATTTGGAGCTTTGAAGTCTGAGTAAAAGCCCAAAGGATTAAGCCGGGATCGCGTTCGGGAGTCGAGAACCACGTCTGGACTTTAAAAACGAAGCAAAAAGGCAGACTTTGAGAATCCACCACAGTCGCGGCGCGTGGGGCACCACGACTACCCATTTTCTGCTGCTGTCAATTTTGCACGCTCTATGACAAACCCCACTACCACCCCGCGTGGCGCATCGCCTCATGCGGCGCGCCTGTGCAATTTTTACAAAGTCCCAATCCTATTTCGTATAGGAAAAGGTGTTTTCGTTTGGGCCCAACATGTAAAAATATTATTTTTGTGACTTTTGTTACACCTTAGAGACCTAAGGAGACTATTTTGGAAGGGAGAAGACGTTGGGAACATTCTTTGGAGGAGAAAATCATCGAGTTCTTCATTCCTTCATCTTTTCTTTGTAATTTGTTTATGCAAAATACTTGAAAAGTTGTTACTACGATCATGAGTGGCTAAAACCTATAGTTCTAAGGTTGTGATTTAGCCATGAATATTGTTGTTTAAAGTTGAGTTAACGTTGATTATAATTCACCAATATATGGTTGTTTCTTTAATTCTGTGATTAATTGCTTAATTATCTAGCCAGCAATTAGGTTCTATTTACTATCTATGCTACGCTTGGGAAAGCCATGTTTAGATTAGAGAAAAATTAAAGAGAGCACGATCGAAG